TCGTTCGACAACATGGATGTTTGGTATCCCATGCGTCTAAAAGCATCGAAGAATAGCATGTCTACCGAGCTCCCGGTATTGATCATGACCCTTGTGAGGTCGAAACCGCCTACAGCGATCTGGATGACAAGTGCATCATCATGTGGCTTGTCTAGAGATAGCGTTTCGCTTTCTAGAAAGCTAATTTGGTGGTCGGGTCCGTCCAGAGGTAGGTTCACAGTGGCGGACCCGACTTTGCGTTGATATGCCTTGATCGAGTTGATCGAGTCTCAGCACATCTTCAAGCCTCTGCAGATGAAGTCGATTCGCTTCATTGTGGGTAGCTCCCCCTCCCTCCCCCCCCCCCCCCCCCCCCCCCCCCCCCCCCCCCCCCCCCCCCCCCCCCCCCCGATCGAGTGAGCGATGTATGAGCTAGAGCTGGCTTGGGTTTTGACGAGCTTCCGAGTAGTTTGAGCACGTGTCCCCCTGCGACCTTATGGAGCTTGGTCGAGCTAGAGCTCAATGGTTTCCTAGGTGCGGGTGGAGGGAGGGGAGGGGGGGGGGGGGGGTGATTACTGATTTCATTGATCCACCACAAAGGTTCAACTCTCTGAAGATGAGGTCGATCCTTTTCCTTGCTGATAGAGGGGAGTCAAGGGTTTGGACTTCAACTTCGACTTCGCGATCTCATTTTTAAGGTGCATTGTCGGTGTCTGCTTCCCTGTTTTGTGTTGAGGTCTTTTTAGGTTTCTCGCTTTTTTACCTTAGCTTTCTCGGCTTTTTCCTTGATGAGTTTTTTTTGCCAAGATTCTAGCTCGAGTTGGACACTCCTCGGTGGAATGTTCGTTCTTTTTGTGGTGCTCGCAGTATTTGCTTTGGTTAAAGCTCGACTCCTTTTCAGAAGACGAGCTCTCTATAGCATATGAATGCTGACCTTTGCCTTGCGGCTCCCTTTTGGGAGGTGTAACGTTAGCTTTCTTCGACCCTGAGGGTGCGAGGTGGAGCTGTGAGTTACGGTATTTTGCTTCGCAGGCGGCCGTTTCATCTTCGAAGTTAGCGTATATGGAAGCGTGATGGAGCGCGTCATCGAGTGAGTCTGTAGGTCGGAGCATGAGCTCTGCCTTGAACCTCGACTGGTACCATAGGTTGGTTCGCAGGGCGAGCAGGGCTACTGCTTCATTAAGGTTAGCGATTTTATCTTTGATCGCTTTGAATTTAGTGATGTATGATCGAAGTGGTTCATCTGGAGCTTGAACGAGCTTCTAGAGGTCGGCTTCAGTTTCTCGTTTTTCGATGAATATCGAATACTGTTTGAGGAAAGCTACTGTGTGCTCGTTGAAATTCGAGATCGAATTTTCTTCCAGCGTCGTGAACCATTCCTGAGCTGTTTTGACTAGGTTCTCGGCAAAGAGCCTGCAGTATCCTGCGTCTTTCTCTTCTGAGGAAAAATTAGCTCGGATAGCTGCGAGGTTGAAGAGTTGGATATGGTCTTTCAGGTCGCTGTTCCCAGCGTAGTCTGGGACTCTTACTTTGGTAGTGTCTCAGAGGTATGTGTGCATGATCGAGTAGGTGAACGGAGCTCGTTGGGTCTCGCGAATTACTCGATCGATGTCAGGAGCTGAGCTTGTGGCTTGATGGAACATGGAGTTCATCTGCCGAATAGCATAGTCGGTTTGATTCTGGAATCTTTCAAAAGATTCGCAGTCGACTAGGTTTCTTGGGCCGACGCCAAGGCGGTTAGCCTGAATTAGATTATTTGGGATCTGGGTTCCGAGCTGTTGGTTAACGAATCCTATGGGTTGTTTGCGGATTCCGCTTGGAAGTCTCGAGCTCGAGGTCGTGTTCGGTTGTTGGCCGAACTGGGGTGGCGTTTGCGAGCTCGAGGCAAATGCCAAGGATCCAAGCCATCTCTGTCGAGGTGGCTCGGTTCCAGGTGGTCTTAAAGGTGGAGATGGATATCTCGTGTTGGAACGCAGTCCCATTCCGGGTATTCTTAGTGTCGGCACAAGTGGAGATGGATATCTCATCGTGGGACGAGGTCCCATCTTTGGTATTCCTGGAGCCGGAATATCCGTGGTGATTGGTGTTTGGTTCGCCGCGGGGGCGAAGTTCGGTGGACCTGGAGCACGCAGAGGTGTCACGTACGGTCCGGGTGGATTACTTGGAGCAGGGATTGACGAAAAGTCGAGCTGAGTCCGTGGAGGTGGACTCGCAGCAGATCGAGCTGCGGCTTGACGCCGTTCCTGCCTTTCTAATCTGATCTCCTGATCTCGTTGTCGATCGATCAGATGTGTGAGCATTTGGAGTATCTCCACCGACTCCGAAGTGCTCTTAAAAGCTGCGGGTATTGGCGGGGAAACAGGAGCTGCTCGGCTCTGTGATGCCGAAGCTGTAGGTGGATTCTCAGATCGCATCCACGTTCGAGTGGGAGGCCTCTCGACTGTTTGTGACTGGTTACTCGTTATACCCGGTGGGGTGACGAGGTTGATCACGATCGGTTCCACATGGCTGGGAACGTTAGAGTTCGTGCCAGTGGTGTCGACGAGGGTTGTAACCCTGGGTTCGTTTCCGTCGGCTGTCTGGTTGACGTTGCCGGTCGGGGTTACTTTATCTGGAGAGATCGGAATCGGTGAGACGTTTCCTGAGGTTTGCTGAGTTGAATCCATTTCGGTTTCAGCTGGCTTAGGATCTGCTCTTGAGTAAGAGAAATCTATCGATCTTTCCCCATAGACTGCGCCAAAATGTGGGTACATAAATCCACACTAAGAAATTTATGTGTTTTTGGTAATGAAAGAAACTTAGGAGAATTGAGGGCTAGATTCTCTCGAACAGATTGATGATATAAGCTAGCACTAACTGAAATAAGGACTTTGTATTAATCGGTTGAATGAAACGGTTACAAGGATTTTAGTGTAGAAGATGAACTCAAGGAGCTCTGAGAGCAGTTACAGAGTTTCTAGGTGTAAAAGGTGTGTAGGAAGATCAAGCCGAAGGTTCCCCAAACTAAGCCGTTCTCCTTCTTTATATAGCTTGCCTCGTCGAGCTTCGAGCTCCAGCGCGTATCTCGGCCACGTGCAGCAGCCTCAGCCGGATATCTCGCCACGTGCAGTAACTTCCTCCGTGATATTCAGACTCGTTCAAACTGGCGAGAATATTCTCTGACTCGGCTCGGATCCTTCCTTGTTTCTCGGGATTTGGTCGAGCTACAGCTCAACTTCGCCGAACAGCGCATCTTGCTGCTTGGAACTGGATCATTGAAAGGTGAACGGGCCTAAGCTATGAGATTGAAGCCCAATCTATTTGGCTTAGTTTGGACCTGATAGTTGGGCTTGAGTGGGCCGGATTTGAGGTGTCAAATCCAGCTCCAACAACGTGGATTCTAATTTTTCTTTAAAAGAGGATCAAAATGAGGGTTGATCAGCCTCGAACAAACTAAGGTAAGGCCATTTACTTCACAGAAAATAGAGTAAAAAACACCAAGAATTTTGCCAAGAACAAACCAGAGCTCCAAGTTACCGCGAATATAACCCCTTTCAATGAAAAGGAACAAATGAAGTAAGAAAGCATCATATAACTTGACCACGAGGAAGTAGTTGAGGAGATATATCACCTCGACTTTAATGGAGTACATGAAGACACTACATCCAAGATAAACGTCCAAACCGGAGCCACACTAGGACCGGTTTAGCCGCCTAAAACAGGTATATTCAATTTATAAAATTTGTGCATGTTGTGTGATTTGTCCCAATAGTTCTTAGCACGTCAAATGACCTCTGGTTCGAGTTCCAAATGAAGTCAAAGAAGCACAGCTTAATTCTTTTATTTTATTTTTAGTTAAGTGAACTTTTCATTTTTAATGTATTTTTTTTTTTTTTTTGTTTTATAGCTTTTCTTTGCACTTGTGTTGTCGTTTTTCTTTTTGTTTTCGGTCTTAGGGATAGCTGGCGAACTGTTTATAAAGCTCTCATGCAGTTTGTATCTTTGGTTACCTTTGATTTTGATAAAGAAACAAACTTTCTTCTTTGCTTAAATCATTGCTTGTCTAAAAACCTTAGTCTTTGCCTTTGACCATCTCTAATCCATTTTGCTATTTTTTCCTTTAAAATAGAGGAACTCTAAAATAAAAGTTAATTTCTCTCCAATCTACCTCTATTTTAGAGGAATACCTTTATTTTAGAGGAAAATATAGAGATACTTAATTTTTCCTCTATATTTGGAGGAAAATATAGCATCTCTATTTTTTCCTCTAAAATAGAGGTGGATTGGAGAACAAAAATAACACCTCTATTTTTTCTTCTAAAAATTGAAGGAAAAAATAGAGAAAGATTGGAAATGCTATTAGCCTGTATTATTCACCTAAGACCAGTCTTTTACTATATCGGAGATCCATTCATCATCTCTATGGTACTCTTGATCCACTACCTTTCCCATTCTTCAATCCCTTTAAGAGAGCGCCATAGCCTGCTTAAAAGATTCTGTTCAGTTTCAAACCTTAGAGATTAAGTCTTGTCTTACCTTTTTTATCCATTGAACCACAAAGCCAGCGTATTGTTCTGATCCGTACCACCCATCCCGCGTGTTGTAAGTCTCACCGAGTCATATCACTGTTTATATTGTAGCTTTTATTTATAGATATTGAAGTTCATCACTTAGCATTTTCGAAACATAATATACTATCAAATACAATATTACAAATTAGTAATCAAAAGTTGATATGGCCGAGTTGGTCTAAGGCGCCAGATTAAGGTTCTGGTCCGAAAGGGCGTGGGTTCAAATCCCACTGTCAACAATATCTTTTTTACTTTTGCTCTCAGAACAAAAAACTGATCTGAACCGTTGAATGGAGTAGGTGTCGTCAATTATCTAACGGTTGATATCTCTGATCATCTAAAACTCCACATCCGAAATCTTCCCCGCCAGAGGAAATCACTCCAAAAATCCCTTTTGCCTCTAATTTTTTCAAAATTTCTGCAGAAGTTTCAGAAAAAGTAGCGATTTCGAACAATTTGAAGATTTTCTCAATGGCTCAAGCAGCGAGATTAAGCATGAGAATGCAAAAGGAGATGAAGCTTCTCCTCTCCGATCCACCTCACGGCGCTTCGTTTCCGCACCTCTCCTCCGCCGCTTCCGGCTCCAGCGACTTCTCAACTTTCTCCACCATCGATGCTCGTCGGATTCTCATATCCTTCTTTCTCTTTCCCAGTCTCCTCCGCGATTGATTATCTCTCTTCTCAGCGATATTAACCCCTTTTTTTGATTTTGGGGTTTTTGGTTTCGCAGAGATCGAAGGTCCTGAAGATACTGTATATGCTAATGGAGTCTTCAACGTGAAGATTCAAATCCCTGAAAGGTACTATCTTAACTCTATTTGGTGATTGATGGTTATTGGTTCCGTTTTTTGAGTCTGATGATGAGAGAGATTCGGATCTATCAGATATCCATTTCAGCCTCCGATTGTGGCTTTCGATACACCGATTTATCACCCAAACATCGATAACAGTGGCCGGATTTGCCTTGATATCTTGAATCTCCCTCCCAAGGTGAGACCTTGTGTTTATATGTTCAAGCTATTCGTGTTAGATTTACTCTTCTGGCTATGGCTAATTGTTGATTCTAACATAAAATCCCCAGAAAAGTTTGAAATTCGTGAAATCCATCTTCTCTGTGTTCTTTCAGTGACGGTTGTTGGCTTTTGTTGATTTATTGTAGCGAATTTGTGTAATCAATCCATCTCCCTCCCAAGTTGAAACTTTGTTTGATCATTTTTTTATTCCCTTGAGGCTTGTGTTGATATGTTGAAGCAATTCGTCTTAGTTTTTGCTCTTTTGACTAGAGCTATTCTCGATTCTTGGTTAATAGAATGTTTGATCAGTTCTTGTCTATGGTGGTTCTTGGCTATAAGAATCCATGAAAGCTATTTAGTTTTTTTGCGGTTCTTGGTAAAAATGTGTGTTTTTTTAGATTCAAAGAGATGACAATGGTTAGTTTCTGATATGGGTATGAGCAAACAGGGTGCTTGGCAACCATCTTTGAACATCTCAACAGTTTTGACGAGCATCGGATTGTTGCTGAGTGAACCGAATCCGGATGATGGTTTGATGTGTGAAGTAGTAAGTCTATGTGCAAAAGCTTAACCACAAACTCGTTTTCTCTTTGAGTATTTGTTCTTTTTGGCTCTTGATGTATATGTTGGCCTTTATATTCCCAGAGCAGGGAGTACAAATACAATAGACAAACCTTTGATTATAAAGCACGAGAGATGACCGAGAAGTATGCAAAGGTTAAGGCTGATGATGGAAGCAGCACCAGCCTCCAAGCTCAGCAAAATGCAAACGTGGTTCATGTTATGGTGCATAATTAGTTATTCTTGATACTTTTCACAAGATGTCCGAGTGTCTTCTATGAGTTTTGAAGCAAATGTTGATCTTTGCTTCCTTTTTTGTTTCTTTAGAGTCATGAAGATGAGAAGGCTTCTGAAAGTGGAGATAGTGTTTTAGCTGGTAATCACGAGAAGTTAACAGTGAACCGTGACACTGCAGAAAATGATATACAAAATAGCCAAATTCTTCTCTCGAGTACTAGAGATCAACAAATGGATGACAATGGGAAAAGAAAAGCAGCGAGTGGTTTCAGCGAGGAGGTAAAATCGAGTAGGAAGAAACTATCTCTCGCCTTGCCTCTTCCTCAGTCTCAGAAGAAAGATTTGTGTGGCGAAGAACTCAAAAATGGAGTTTCAGATGCTTGCAAAGAATACAAGAAACCACATTCGTATGGTAAGAATCAGCCACTTAATAACAACTTGGCCTCCTCAAGTTTTCAAACTTCTGCTGCAAAGAGTGACAACAATAGACTAAGCCGAAAACTGTCACTAATACCACCTCAAGAGTCGCAGTTAAACGAAGAACTTGTGCAAACTCAAGATGAATCCATTGTTGTTCAAGACAGTGATGAAAGTGGAGAAGAAGAAGAAAAAGTCGCTTCTAGGTCAAGATTGTCACTGGGAAGAAGAAGAAGAGGCCTCAAGCGTAGATCTTGATCAAAACTCTTTTGGTTTTTTTTTTTTCCTTTTAATTGGGGTTGAATCGAGTTTGGAGTATATGAATTGCAAGCATATGATTTATTAATCTTGACTAAGTTTTTTTTTATTGACGAAAAAATAGGTTACAAATGCGATTAATTAATTAGTTACAACTACATACTTCAAGAGGTTGGATGCAATGTCCTCCCTTGGCACATAGATGGGCACAATCGGAGTCTGTCTTGCAAGCTGGAGGTGGCCTAGTCGATCTACAAAGACATGTTCCAATATGAAAGTTGCATACTCCTCCGAATCCATTGGGACAATTACGGACACAATCGATGTCTCTCTCGCAAGGTATATTTGTCTCCACCAAACCCTTGTTGGCGCCGGCGTTATTTGCACTTCCGGCGACAACTTCGACTCCAAGATCTTCTCCATCATTCGCATAAACAAAATGGCTTTCAACGGTTAGATATTTTTTGCATCTATAATAATAAATATTTGTGCAGTTGAAAACGATAGAATAAATGTTCAAAAGAAATGATGTATGATGATGTTGTTCATTAGTTTTGTTTATTGACAATAATAATAATAAAAAGATCAAAAACGTACTAGATGTGATGACCAAAATGAAAAGCAAGAGTGGAAGCTTGAGAAAAACGTTCTTCATTTTCAAGTTTGGTTTAGAGATTTTAACTATGAAGTTTTAGTTTTGTGAAAGTTTGAGATGGTTTGGGAGTATCTAGCCATACACATTTATAGTGTGGTAAGTGGCAATTGGCAAATCCAGTCCGATAAGATTTTAGAGACTAGATATATTCTTACCAGTTTTAGAACTTGGACTGGATTTGCCAGCTTGAATCATATTTTTTTTCAAATAAAATGTGATTATAGTAATAATATATATGATTTATTTTGGTCATCACATTCGTAACTATAAATCACATTTTCTATATTTGAATCATTTTTTTTTTTGAAAGCTTTAATCATTTTCTTATTAGTAAATATGATTCAAATATATCTGTCTTTTTCTATAAGTGTTTATTTTTATTTTCATCATAAATGAAATTAAGCAGATGATGTTGTGACTGGTTTCAGCGAGGAGATAAAACCAAGCAGGAAGAAACTATCTCTCGCCTTACTTCTTCCTCAGTCGCAGAAGAAAGGTTTGTGTGGTGAGGAACACAAAAATGGAGTTTCAGATGCTTGCAAAGAAAACAAGAAACCACATTCGTATGGAAAGAAGCTTTTTCTAGGGCTGAAGCAGCCACTTAATAACAACTTGGCCTCCTCAAGTTTTGGAACTTCTGCTGCAGAATGACAACAATATACTAAGCCGAAAACTTTCATTGAGACTACCTGGAGAGTCCCAGTTAAACGAAATGCTTCTGCAAACTGAAGATGCAATTAATCCATTGGAAGAAACATCAATGGCTGAATCCATTGTTGTTCAAAACAGTGATGAAAGTGGAGAAGAAGAAGAAGAAGAAAAAATCTGTTCAAGGTCAAGATTGTCACTTGCAAGAAGAAGAGGCCTCAAGTTTTAAGCATATGATTTTTTAATCTTGAGTATAATAAGTTGTGAAGAATATATTACAATGCGATCTCTAAAAATAATTAGAAACAATCACATGTCCCAAGACGATCGTTGCAGAATCCTCCCTTGGCACATTCAAAGCTACAATCGACGTCTCTCTTGCAAGGTGGATGTGCCAGCCCTAGAGTCCTGCCGGCGCCGGCGTTATTTGTAGTTCCGGCGATAACTTCGACTCCATTAAGCTCTCTTGCTTCTGCTCCAAGATCTTCTCCATCATTCGCATAAACAAAATAGCTTTTAACGGTTAGTTTTTTTGTTTAAATATTGATATTTGTGAAGTTAAAACGATAGAATGAGAATGTTCAAAAGAAATGATATTATTCATTATTTTTCTGTACTGATTAATACTAATTATTAATAAATAAAAAACAAAAACGTACTACATGTGATGACCAAAATAAAAAGCAAGAGTGAAAGCTTGAGAGAAACATTCTTCATTTTTCAAGTTTGGTTTAGAGATTTCAACTATAAAGTTTTAGTTTTGTGAAATTTTGAGATGGTTTTAAAGTATTTAGCCATATACAGTACTGTAGTACATTTATACTGTGGCAACAGGCAAATCCAGTCCGATACTGGTCAAAGATTTTGGAAAATAAATACATTATTACCAAATATTAGAGGTATGACTAGAGGAGTCATATTGAATTGATGATATGGAAGAATTTTATTTTTTTTCACAAATCTCTCCCTATTGAATCTGGTATTTATAAAAACTCTCTCAAATTTCTCCTTATTGAAAAATAGAATTTTTAACAATAAAATATATCAAAAACAAATTGGAATAGAAGTTTAAATAAAATCAAGTAGTAGTAAATACTATATATCATATTTTCTATGTTTGAATCATATTTTCTGTTAATAAATAAAATTCAAATATATTGTTGTTGGCCCGGTTTTATCATGATCAAGGATATCACAACATGTAGATACGGAACTACCCTAAACGCTGACACGACCTGTTAGTTCGACCAACAACTTCGTAGCATACTATTTCCGGACAGTTGGCAAGCTTCCCGAATTATGCATGCGCCACCAACCCATCTGCTCTTTCTGGCACGCCGAACGGATGTGACAGAACGGGAAGGACTGGTATAAAAAAAGCTCAAGGAAAAGAGACGAAGGGGATCCGATCAGGGAGAGAGAGAGGTAGAGATCAAAGGAGAAACCTCCTTAGATTCCGATCTAAGGAGGAAGAGTCGGACCCTGTCCCAAAGAAGCTAGGCACAGCCATGCAGCGTAGTTTCAAGGGAACGCCCCCATTTTCTCGAGATGGCGCCAAATATGATAAACCATTTATAACACGAAACCACACCTTTATAATCGTTATGTCTTATCTCCCGTGTAGAACCCCTTAAAACACCTATAGACAGAAAGATGCTCCGACCCCGGACGAGGCATCTAACCCCCAACCCGTAAAATCACCCTCCTGAGCTCTTGTTTCTGGTAGGACGTTTATTGACTTGGGTGTCGGAGAACCTTCAGGAGGATCCCTCATTCGGTTCTCCTAAAAGTCTGACTGACTCTTCGTATAGTGCTCGCAGGACTCGTTCAGGTTCCATCCAATGCTCGCAGGATTTAAATAAGCTTCTGTCCTGAAACGAGACAAATGACATACCCTCCTGTGACATCTTATAAAATGCTCCCAAACAATCATATTTTCTATAAAATTTATTTATATTTTCACCAGAAATGAAATTAAGCAAATGATGTTGCCAGAGAGTATTATATTTCTTTCCTGGTTCTGTTTTGTGAATTTGTTAGTCAAATATATTCATGTTGAATTTCAAATATGTTTGGTAAAGATTTGGGAAAAAAGGAATTTTCGGTGGCATCTCTAATATATAAAAGTTGATGGTATAGTGCATTGAAGACGTCCACCTGAGATTAAAATACTCGATCTGATTGGTCTACATCAGCAATTTTCATTAAACAAAAAAATGGTAAGTATGATTAAAACCTTAATTTCGTTTTAATCATAGAAAAATTAAATAAAAAGTTTAAGTAACAAATAGAAAAGAAAATTATAAAAAACCAAAAAATAATATCCTTAAAAATAAAAAATAAAATTGTTTTCAAAAGAGTTAGAATGCCAAAAAACAAATATCACAAAAGTTCAAACTTATAATATAGGTCAGGAAAATTCAAACTTCTAAATTAATTGACAAGAAAATATAAAAAATTTATTTTGTTTTATAGATGGGAAAATCAAAATAAAAAAAACTTAAGTAACAAATAGGAAAGAAAATTATGTTAAAAAAACCAAAAACTTAAATTGGTATATGTAGATAAAATATTCAAATCAAAGTATGCATATTGTACACAAAAGATAAAAACAGTAAAAATAATGTAAAGACTCCACATCACCGATCCTATAAGTTAGAAAACTAAAATTATAAAATATTAGACTGTAAAAATATAGATATCAATGAAAATTGAATAAAAATATAAGCTAAAACTCTTAGAAAACATGATGGAGAAGGAATAAATGATTTTGCATGATCATTGCAGCTTCCTAACAAAATTAAATGCGAATCAACATAACTCATGGATTATATATGCAGTGATACAAAACATCAATAAAACTTTCAATAAAAAACTACATATTTGAACACATAAACCTTTAAGAAAAAAAGAATTATTTAAATTCTCTGGTAAACAGAAAAATACCAAAATCTTGGCAATAATTTTTTTCTCTAAATTAAATATATATGTACGTCAAAGTTGGATAATTCGATATGTGTCACTATTATTAATTTACCTAATAATTTTCAAAATTTTATAAATAAAAGTATGAGAAAATTACACATTATTTATTAATTTTTCTTATATAAATAATTTTTTTATAAATATATTATCGTTTTAATAATTTAAAAGATAGTAGCTAAAAAAAATTAAATCAAACTATTAATACAGAAAAAATTACCGAGAAAAGATTCTGAAAAATTAGAAAGGACAGAATGGTGGAACGTGGGTCCTAATATTTCCCTAAGAGAGGGTCAAAATGTAGATAATTTATTGGGAGTATTTCTAAATTACGTTTTTGAATTTATGATTTTTGATATTCACCTATATATTTATTTATTTAAAGAGAATTCCAACTGCAAAGATAACATTTATTAACTGTGTTATTTACCTAACTAGTATTATCTCCCGTGCCAAGCACTAGATTACTTTTGCTTAAACTTAAAATAAAACTAATTTTATGTTATATTTATACATAATTAAAAGTTTCACGTGTACACAATAACATTGCTTCTTTTTTAACATTATAAGTTTATAACTTTGATATATTAGAAGGAGATGTATATACATGACTTATCATTGATTAACCACATTAAGCACATATATAGGAAAATACATAGAAACTCATAAATTCAAATCAAAGATGAGTGAAACTCAAAAGTAGTTGAGAAGAAGATTCAGTTATCAAGCCGCAAAGTATATTTTCATATTCAAAATGAATTTCACTTGTTAGAACCTGGTTTGATATATCTTCCTATAATGTTAAGTATCCAAAAAAATATAACAAAGCGATGAGAATATGATCGACACAACGTTATAATTAAACTTGCTTTCATAACTCACATGGGCTTTAGAAGTTGAGTATCCAATAGTTTTGAAGCTCTTCGTCTTCTATTCTCTTTTTTTGAAACTTCAGTTTGGAAACATGGGTATAATCCAACGGTATCTTCAATTTGTTTCCTGAAAAGAGGATCATATATATGTTAGGTGAAAACATGTAGAGAATGAAAATTGAGATAAAAAGAATTGTCTACACCTCTATCGATTGCAACTGTTATTTCTTAACATGGATGAACAGAAGAAAAAACCGACGTAAGAGAGATGATTTATAGTTTAAAATAATTTTTATGATAAAAGAAGCTATTTAAGAAATCGTGGTAGCTTTAGATGAGAAATTATAGGGATTTTTGGAATCTTTGATATACACTAGTTAGCGCAGGTATGTTTTTCTAATTTTTTTTTATATATGATATAATTGAGTTTATAAAAAATATTTTTAATTTCTTTTTGTTTTTATGTGTTAATAGTTTATAAAGTGAGTGTTAGTTTAAAATATAAACATATATTAAGAATTTTAATTTGAAATATATAATATAAATATATAGTAATTGTTTTAAATTTTTTAAACCATATTAATATTGTCTAATTTAATAAATATGTTGATTCAGATCAATCAGATTGAATTTACTTTTTTTTGTTAGACATACTTTGTTAAATTAACTTTTAATATTTTAATTATACTTAACAATTTTTGGTTTGATAAAAAAGCTGATATGGACCAATTAAATCAAGTTTTTCCGTCATAATCATACTTAACATTTTGTTATTTAATAAATATGCTGATGTGGACCAATCAAATAGAGTTTTTAATCCTATGTGGACGCCCTCAATGCACCATGCCTTCAACTTTAGTTAATTTTTTAATTATACTTAACAATTTTTGGTTTGATAAAAAGATGATCAATTAAATCAAGTTTTTTTGTCCTAATCATAATTAACATTTTGTTATTTAATGAATATGCTAATGTAGACTAATCAAATTGAGTTTTTAATCCTATGTGGACGCCCTTAATGCACTATGCCTTCAACTTTTATATATTATAGACTATGTTTTTAATTCGCGTTACGCGCGAGTCTGTATTAGTAGTTTGGTTTAATTCCTTTTTAGTTATTATTTTTTAAATTATCAAAACTATAATATATATATAAAATTTCCTTTTTTATGTAAGAAAATATTTTTGTTTATTATTTTTAGCTAATATCTTTTAAATTAATAAAAATTATATATACTTATAAAAAATTTCATTTATATAAGAGAATTTAATATATAATGTGTAATTTATCCTATTTTTATTTATAAATTTTTAAAAACTATTAGGTAAAATAATAACAATGACACCTATCGAACTATCCAACTTTGACGTACATATACATTTGATTTAGAGAAATATAATCTTGCTAAGATTTTGATATTATTTTCTGTTTTAGAATTTCTATAGTTTTTTTTTTCTTAAAGGTTTATGTGTTCAAATATCTAGTTTTTTATTAAAAGTCTTATTGATGTTGTGTACCACTGTATATATAATCCATGATTCATGTTGATTCATATTTAATTTTGCTAGGAAGTTGTAATGATCATTGAAAACCATTTTTTTTCTTCTCCATCATGTCTTCCAAGAGTTTTATGTTATATTTTTATTTATTTTTTATTTTTTTAATTGTTAAACCGAGTTGTTGTAGATTTTTTTAAATTGATAATTGATAATGATTACTTTTTTATACATGTATTGTTAATTGTTGATTTTTTATTTAACTTTTAAATTTTTAAACCATATTGACATTTTCTGATTTAATAAATATGTTGATTTGGATCAATCAAATTGAATTTACTTTTTTTGTTGGACATAATTTGTTAAATTAACTTTTAATCTTTTAATTATACTTAATAATTTTTAGTTTGATTTAAAAGCTGATGTGGACCAATT